AGAGAAAGCAAACACACACCTTCTAAACTCGTGAGAGCCCACGCGGTCTCGTTCCAGGAGCTCGAGCTCCAGATTTTTAGCCCGAGGGGTCCGCGCCTCCTCCGCGGGGAACTCGAAGAGGGGCCCCTCGGTGGAGTCGTCGGGCCTGCCCGCCGCCTGCGTTGGGCGCGGGCGCGACGCGTGCGGCCAGGAGGAGGAGGAGGAGGGGAAGGAGGAGGAGGAGGAGGAGGAAAAGGAGGAGGAGGAGTAGGAGGAGGAGGAGGAGGAGAAGGAGGAGGAGGAGGAGAAGGAGGAGGAGGAGGGTTCGCGAGGGTCCCTGGACCTGCACCTTCCGCGCGGAAGACGCGGCCGCGATGCGGCCGTGGCGGCCGCCGCCGCAGCCGCTGCGACCTCGCTGGTGGCCGCCGCTGCCGCGGCCTCGGCGGCCGCGGCAGCGCGGCACCTGCCACACGGGAGGTGCGGAAGGTGCGGGTCGAGGGATCGAGGCCGCCTCGCTCGGGTGTTGCCAAAGGTGGCCAAGGGGGACCCTGGCGTTCCCAGGGGGGGGCGCAGATGGCTTCAAGAGCACCCCATCACGACACTTCTAGCAACACCCGATTCCCTTTGTCATCAGAATCCTGTGGTGTCAGTGTGGGGCCCTCGTTTTGAGTCAGCAGCGCCAGTCCACCCTCCCTCGGGCCTTACACATTCCTCTCCCCTTTCGGCACACGCCTGACACGCTTCGTGGCCCCATATGGGGTTCCACCCAGGGCCGCACAAGCCCCGACGGTATCGAGGCTGTCGCACTTGTTGTGTTGGTCCACGGCAACGTGGGCTTCGTTTCGCTTGGAATGCGGCGCCGATGAGCCCCCCCGACGAAACTCCCAAAAAGGCAACAACAAAAAGTCCAACAACTCAAATGCATCGTCGAGGGCCCGACGAGCGAGAGTGAGCGAACGAGGGAAATCCTGCGACCCCGTGTCCACTGCAACCCTGTCCCCTGCAATCCGAGGCCCTCTACGAGCGCAGACCCGCGTCGGGCATCAAGGCACTCAAGAACACGATCTGGGTGACCCTTAAAGGCGTGCTGTCGGTCAAATCGCCCTGTTGGCCCGATGCGCACAAGCTAAAATGCGCCCCACAAGGGGAGTGTATCGCCTGGGGTGTTCCTCGTCATTGCTCCTGCTCCCCTCCAGAGGCACACTCTCCCGCAGACGATAACTACACACTCGACGTCCTAGGCGGGAGTGAGAGGGAGGAGGAGGATGTTATTCGAGATGTAGGCCCCCGAACCTCTGGACCCCTTCTCCCAGGGCAGGTTTGTCATCCATGAGTCGTTTTGTTGATGGCCCCGAGACCCGAGAACGACCTCGAGAGGCAGACCATTGAAAAACAACACAAACAACACCAGACACTCTATGCTTTCGAGTGTGTGGTGGCCTGAGGCGAAGGAGAGCGCAGGGAATCAAACGAAGCGCTTCGTGGGCCAAGGGCCAATGCCTCCACTGGCCAAGCTACAAGGGCGATGGGCCAGGCAAGTGCGAATGTGTGCGAAAATTGTCAGCCACAGTACTGTAGCCCATGTCAGGCCAATCCTCGAGGTCGGTGCGCCGAAGAGGGGTCAGGAAGAGGGGGGTAGCGCATCATGGAAAGAGGCACGTGCGCGGGCGGGAGGGGGCCAGTGAACGTGCTGAAAGAAGAAGGCGACGTGGGACCGATGGCAATGACGATGACGATGACGAGATGACGATGATTATGACGATGACGACGACGATGTCATCGTCATCGTCATCGTCATCGGGGAGAGTTCCTTCCCCTCAGCGTGATATCCAAACTCCCAACAAACCTCACCCCCTCGTCGACGCCTGGTGGCTTTCCGGTCACAGTTCGGGCCTCGGGCTGTCGTTCGGGAGGACGGGCACCACAGAAAGCCCGCGACGAGCCGCGGCCGCTGGAAGGCATCCCGAGGCGAGAGAACGCCCAAGAGCAAGCGAAACCTCTCCCTTCAAGAGCCTCACCCCCTACTTGGATCGGGTCGACCGAAAGGCGGGGACTGGCAAAGGAGGGGTCAACGAATCAGCTCACACAGCGGGTTTTCCCATCGCCTCCCGGCGACGAGGGCGCCAAGCCAGGCGGGCCGAAACAAGCTGCATGCAGCAGAATTCGCCCCCCGCCCCCCCTTTCCCCTAGTTGCAGTCGGAGTGGATTGGGGAAGACACGCGAGAGGACACAAGACTCTTCCGATGGCCACATTGCCAGCGGAACGTAGAGGGCATGGTTCGCAAAGCACAGGACACAAGGGTACCCTTGTTTGGGCAGGGTCGACCTACTAATTAAACCCGAACGTATCCCCAACTCTCGTCCGAACCGATTGTGTTCCCCGATGCTGGCCAATGCAGGTGCCCAGCCAGCGTGAGCAGACCGAGCGGAAGGCCGCCTTCGGGGTGTGGTGGAGCGAGAGCGCCATGGCGGATTGGCGGAGGTGCTGGGCCACGTAGTTGCGCGGGGTGCGCTTCTTCAACTGCGGCGCGCGAGCGGCCCGGCCAGGGTCCCAGCGGAAGGGGGGAGGGGGACTCCGACCCTGACATTCAAGAGCGCCGAGAGACAAGAAGAAGAAGAAGCGAAAGAAGAAGAAGAAGAAGAAGGATAGTAACAAGAACAAGAAGAAGAAGAAGAAGCCAGGACGAGGACAAATTCGGGCCAGGAGGAATCGAGCATCTCCGAGATCCGGCGGCTCTGGAGGACGTCTCTGCGGGCCGCGGCCTCCTCAGAGAGTCCCGGAGCGCTCCGAGTCTTCCGCAACGCTCTGGAGCGGGGGGCGGCGGAGCAGGGGCCGAGGGTCGCCGCCCCGGCGCCGTCGTCGTCCCCGTGGCCGTCGTCGCGCTCGTCTGCTCGAGGCTCGAGGCCTGCGGCTGTCGGCCTGCTGTCGGCAGCGAGGGTCGGCTTGGAGGGCCAGGGCTCGATCACCGAGGCTCGAGGCCTCGAGGTTCGAGGAACGCCACAGCCAGGGGTCGTATCCGTATACCCACGGCCCCGCGGGCCGTGCTCTCCTCGGCCGCGGCTCCTTTGGATACGGGGCGGCGATGCGCCGTTGTCCCGTGCGGAAGACATCCATGTGATCGCGTATTCGTGAGATCGCGCCCTTGAGTCCAGAACAGAAGGGCATGGACATGGATACGCTCGTGGGATGGAGGCTCGAGGACGGAGGCTTGTGGAGCCCCCGAGACAGACATCGAGGGACGCCCCAGCGTCACCAGAAAAGCAATATCAGAGGTTCGGGAGATCCTCCCCCCACTCTGAGACAGGCTGAACCGAGCCACACCATTCTCTGATTGCAAATGAGCTGCCAGATGTCGACAAAGAGGCTGGAAACCTGCACCAAATCGCGCGCCAGACATGTTAAGTCCGGTGACTCATTGCTCGCAGAGCTTCCCTGTGAGATCAGCCGTGAAGCTGTCGCCTCCCTCATCGGCCTGAGGAGGCTCGCAGGAGGCCCCGCGGATGCGTCGGAGGGGGCTCGCAGGGTCACTCAGGAGTGGCTGCTGCTGCTGCTCTCTTTCGAGCTGCTGACCACCGCCCTCTCCACCCCTTCCTCAGGGCTGGCTCTGCTCTCGATGACCCCTTGTCCAACGAAGCACTTCGATACGACGCGGGTTGCGCAGCGGGGGCCGACACGGCTGCGTGCCATCGGTGGAGCTGAGCACACGCGCAGGGCTCATCAACGCACGCCCTGAGGACCATCGCCTCTCACCCTGAGCCGCCCACCGACTGCCCCTGCACGCCCACGACGGGCCCTCGGACGCCCAGAACTCCGAACAGCCCTCCTTGGGCGTCGCTCAGTGGGCGGCGATGAATGGCGGGGGGGGGAGGAAGTGCATTTGTCGGGTCCTAGAGGTGCCTTTTTAGGGGCCCTAACGGGCCCTTCTACGGGCCCTAGAGGGCCCCCCTTTTCTGCAGCCCTCGCTGCCCCCCCCACTGAGCTGAGCGTCATTTAACCGATCCCTACCCCCACTGGCGTGACCTAGGCCCCACTGGCCGTGGTATCCCCCTAGATCTCGCCATCGCTCGGACGTCCATTCCTCGTGTTTTTTTTCGATTTCGTGCGCGTGTGTGTGTGTGTGTGTGTGTGTGTGTGTGTGTGGGTGGGTGTGGGTGTGGGTGTGGGTGTGGGTGTGGGTGTGGGTGTGGGTGTGGGTGTGGGTGTGGGTGTGGGTGTGTGTGGGTGTGGGTGGGTGGGTGGGTGGGTGGGTGGGTGGGTGGGTGTGTGTGTGTGTGTGGGTGGGTGTTTTTTCGCCAAATGATCAAGGATGGTCCTCGATGGCCGTCGCCGAGCAAAAATGCACACGTCCGAGCGATGCCAAGAGGTGGGGATCTGAGCTGTTGCCTTCGGGCTTCGAGGGGCCATCCCCAGCTGGGGCGGTGCGCTGGCGGGGCTGAGCTACCATGCCCCATTGGGGATAGGGATCGGCTCAACGATACTGACCATTGAACGCCCCCCGACGCACAACCTCTGTTAACCAGCCTCGAACGTATCCCTATCCCTAAGATGGGCGAGCAACAAGCGAGGACAATCTTAGGGATAGGCCCTCAGAAATTGAGGGAATCCTTAAAGATCGGCATCGAGGCGAGGTGATGTCAAACATAGGGATAGGGATATGTTTCAAACTGGTAATCTGTCTCGTGGTCAGCTCCAATCGCTGGACCTCCCGGGGCATTCGGGCGCCCCCGCGCCACCGCCTGCCCACGCAGGGCCGTGCCGGGCGGACGGGGCGGACAGCAGAGCGGAGGCGGTGCGGGCAAGATTCGTGTCCAGATTCAATGCAACCTGGACTTCCTTGTAGGGGGCGCCATAAGGCCGAGGCGCACTGGATAGGGATGAGAATCGAGCCTCTACGAGGGCAAAATTATCCATATCCAGTGCGCCTTGGGGTTCTGGTTATGTCGGGCCTGTCCCCCTACAGAGGATTTTCCACGAAAAATGAAACATACCCCCAAAATACTACAACAAGTCCACAAATACCCCAAAATTAGTCCCCAGACTATTTTTGGACTACTGTTTGACTATGTTTGGGGTATCTTTTATTTTTCGTCGAAAATCCCCTTGTAGGGGGACAGGCCCGACTTAAGGTTCTGGGGAAAGGGGCCGGGAACTCCATCCTGCAGTGGAGAAGGACAAAAGTATTGTCCGCGGGCGGGGGGCTTGGCGAGCATGCAGCAAGATGCGTGCAGCCAGATGATCCTTGCGCCTCCCGGCGCCGGAGGCGCCAACGCATCGAAAAACCCTCATGGCGTCGGGGCCGAAACCAGCTGTATGCGATAGGGGTCGTCGCCACATTTCCCCCCCCCCCCCCCCATATTTATTCCGACCCGAGAGGAGGACTGGTAGAAGAAATCGAAGCCAGACCTCATGTGCCTCGTCCTTTGGGCCATTCTCGGCGTCGCAGGGCCCGTTTCCGTGACCCCATGACCGTAAAGTACTCCCCTGGCGAGAGCTGGGGACCCCGCGCAAGAGCAAACACGAAGTCGGAGGTCCGGACCCCGCTCTCCAGAGGCTTCCAAGAGAGAGCAGGCTCTTGGAGAGCGTCGGGCGGCCTCCTCGCAAGCGGGGGGCCCACTAAAAAAGGCCGCGACCCACCTCACATTTAAGTCGGGCCTGTCCCTCCAGAAGGGGAATATTCAAAAATAGTCCAAAAATCCGCCGGCCTCCTCGTGGGGCCACCAGGCTGTAGGACGAAGCTTCGCAGTTTCCTGTACCAGTTGCAGCTTCCAGTTTCCAGAGTTTCAGTTCTGCTTATTGCTGCTTACTGTTCCTTGTTCCCCTCTTGCTGCACACTGTTCCTTGTTGATGGACCGCGCGAGGGTGGGAGGCCCAAAACGGGTAAATCTTTACCACGGCCAATGAGGGTTCTCAGAATTTCTAGGGGGGTAAAAATTAACACCCCTCACGCAGATCGGCGGGGTCAGGGTCCAAAAACACATGGATTTGCCACATTTCTGAAATTCGGCGGCACCCCTCACGCAGATCAGCAGGGTCAGGGTCCAACAACATCAGGGATTTGCAACATTTCTGAAATTCGGTGGCACCCGTGACGCAGATCCGTAGGGTCAGGGTCAAAAAACAAAGAGGTCCCGACACTGCTGCACGGCGGCGCCCAGACCTCATGATTTCGCTTTTGCATCTCCCATTATCCAAGACAGGGGGCCTGCGGCATGGGGCGAAGCCCTTACGGATAGCCTGGGGACAATTTTTTTTCTGGTTTTTACCATTTGGGGGCATTCTTTGACAATCTTTTATGTTTCGTCGAAAATCCCCCTGAAGGGGGACACGCCCGACTTAACCTCACCCCTCTCGTTGTCCGCGGCCAGGTCAGAAGCGATCCCCTGGAACCCCAGGGGGCTCCATCCCGGCTCGGATCCTGGCCATCGCTCGGACGTCCATTCCCTCTGTTTTGACGGCTTCGTGCGTGGCTTTTTGGCGAAATGATCAAGGATGTTCCTCGGTGGTCCTCGCCGAAAGAAAAATGCACACGTCCGAGCGATGCCAAGGATCCTCAGGGCCCGCAGCAGGGTCGGCCTCAAGGAGGGCCGTCCTGCGACGGCGCCCCTGGCCCCGTTGACCTTCGGCTCTCGAGATAGGTTCGAGCCCGGGCCACGCGCGCGAAACGGACTATCTCCAGCGACAAAGGATGGGAGCATACGATATCTCACGGGGGCGATCCACATTTGAAGGGACGTTCTGAACACACTCTCTCAAGGGACGTTTGGACACAAAGGGATCCCCCACCCAAGCTCATCCCCACCGCAAGGAACTGGGGAGGCCCAGAACCCCGTCCCCAACCCCCACACTGGGAGAACTATTCGGCGCCCCCCCCCCTCCCAGAAAATGATTCAGGGAAACAACAACACCCGCACCCCTCGGCAGTGACGACGCCAACGGCAACAGCGTCAGCGGCGGCAGCGGCGCACCTGTCACCGGCCCCCGCGCCAGGCACCAGCTCTGATAATGTGCTACGAGGACTCGATCAAGCTCTCGGGAAAGCCCACTAGGACCCCAATGTACCCTCCCCGATGTTACCCTACTCTACTCTGCCAAACTCTATTATGCGACCTACTCTTCTCCACCCTTCTCTACTCAACCGTACCCTGGCAAATTATATTATAGTCTGTTATTGTCCTACTCCATTCAATTATATTCCGCTACTCTTCTACTCTGCAGGGCTCCGTTATACTCTATCTCTGCCCTGTTCTACTCATCGAGTCTTCTCTAGTCGGCTCTACCTACTCGCATCGGGTATACATCTTTCTACTCTGCTATACCCTACTCTATTTTACCTTATTGCACCCCACCTGACTCTACTCGACTCTACCCTACTCTACTCTACTCCTGTTACAATCTTCCCCACGCCTATTCTACTGTGTTCGTCGTCGCTGTTGTCGTCGTCTTTGTCGTCGTTGTCGTCGTCGTCGTCCGCTGGCGGGCGGCGGCGGCGGCGGCGTCGTCTTCGTCGGGAGGGGGGGGGG